GTTCTCAGAAGACAAACTGAAACAGTTTTCTCAAGGGAGGCCTGCCTCCAGAAAGTTCCCTGGAACCCCACAGGGTGTCCCTCACCAGCCTCCCTCTTGCACCCAGGACATGAACTTCCTGTGGTTCACGCTCTGGCCCCTGGGCCTGCACATGCTGTTTCCAGCACCTTAGAAGCTCTTCCCCTCCATCTCTGGCCAGCTCACTCTTCTCGCTCCCCAGGTGTTGGATGGATCAAACATCTCTTTCTCTGGACTAGGGGAGGCTCCGGTGGCACCGCTCCTTCCGCCAGCTCGACTCTCCACAAGGAATGGACCATCCGTCTTTAATATCCTTCTTCCCTGAGAAACTTTAAACTCCGTCAGGGCACAAAACTGAATCTGTGTCAACTCTAGGGGTCCTCAGCATTCTGCACTGCAGGGACACAGTGAATGCGGTAGAGAATAAGAATAAATGGACCAAGAGCTTAAGGAAGTACCGAGACTAGAACCCAGAGAGGAGAGAGAGACAGACTGGATTAGGAGCCATCGATCGGTTAAATGAAACTGGTGAGAGGACTCTCGAGAAATCTCTTTCACACACGAGGAAGCAGGTCCACACATTTAGTCAAATCTTCATCATTAGGTGAGATTTTCAATTTGTGACCAGGATGATTAAAAGTTTCAGGATGTAGCACAGGTTTTTAGGGCCCATGTCTAGCAGCCGCACACATCTGGATTACACATCTGGTGAGTCACATACGTCTGTGGTGCAGTTCTGGGGTAAAGTGTTCCGGGGACTCGCACCTCTGCAGCGATGACAGACAGCACTCCTGTGTCTGGGCCCCGTGTAAGAGGTTGTTAAAAGCAACCCCGACCCCAGAGGGAGAAAGCCACAGCACCCGCCTGCCAAGAGGGTAACCAAAGGCTGACAGATAGAATTACACCATTTCCTGACTTTTCTCATAATAAAACTAGGAGCGGCCAGTCCTTTGCTAACTCTATATAGGCTTTTTCTCAGACAAACCCAGAAGCAGCTGAACCGAGATGTACTTTTCAAGGGCATCTCACACTGGGTAAGGGATCCTGAAGTCAGGGGACTCGGGGTCCAGTCCTGGCTCTGCCACTGACCCCCCACGGCCAGCTTTCAGGCATCGGTTTCTTCCCTACAGCTGTTTCCCATGAAAGAAAGGGAAAACCTGTGACAGCTTCCTTCTGTCCCAGAAAGACTTTAATGGGACTACAGGAGCATGAGGGTGGTCTTCTCCCCTTACTCTCTGCTATGAATTGTGTCCCCCCAAATTTATATGCTGATGCCCTAACCCCTGAGGTGAGTCTCTGGGAAGTAATAAGGTATAGATGAGGTCATGAGGGTTACACCCCTATCTGATAGGATTTGAGCCCTTATAGGAAGAGACACCAGAGAGCTTGCACTCTTGTGCTCTCTCACCCCACGCCCCCTGCCATGGGAGGACACAGCTCTTGGTCATGCTGGCCATGTGCAAGCCAGGAAGAGGCCCCTCACCAGAACCTGGCCACGCCCTGGTCTCAGACCTCTGGCCTCCAAAACTGTGAGAAATAAATTTCTGTGGTTAAGAAACAACACCCAGTCTATGTTATTTTGTTATGGCAGCCCAAGCAGACTAAGACATTCCCTTATCCTTGCTCAGGGCTGCTTCAGCCCTGGGAGGCCAAGCTCAGGGCCTCAGGCTAGGACAGGCCTTCGCAGATCCACTGTGGGAGCTGGATTAGAAGTATCCCCAGCCAGGATCCCCCAGTGCCCCATGGCTTGTGGCCCAGATCCCTGTCGGCACCCCCCATTTGCAGAGGGAGGGTCTCCCCTACGACTGCCCTTGGACCTTGAATCCAACTGCCTCCCAGGGTGGTGTGTCTCCAGGGCCTCTCCAAAGAGCGTAGGCCTGGCCCCAGGACATGGGTGTCCAGGCAGCTTTCAGGGAGCTACCTTGGCCTCCCTTGGTGCAAGGGAGCCTGATGGGGGGAGGTAGGACCCTAACAAGAGGTACCTTAGGGCTTACGGCCCTCGACAAGTTCACAAAGCACTTTGACGAAAGTCTCTCCCTGTGCCACAAGGTGACCCTCAAAGGAAGGCAGGAGTGACCATTCCATTTACAGATGAGCAGTCAGACTCAGAGAGGGTCAATTTTGTTGCCCAGTGTAGAAGTGACAAGATTTAAACCCAGTCTTTGAGGCCCAGTTCAATACTCTCTCCACCCTGCCACACTGTTCCTCAGATCTGTGCAGAGAGAGGGTAAGGCTGAGCAGGGGAGCACTGCAGGGAGGTCCCAGCTGAGCCTGACCAGTGGGTAGGGGGAGGAAGTTCCCCATGGGGGGTGACATCAGGGTGGCCTGGGTTTCCACTGGCGGTGGGGGGGGGAGGATGTCCCCAGGTGGAGACAGGACAAGCTGGAAGCTGCAGGGCCTGCTCAGAGAACAGGGGACTCGCCACTTTGGCTGAAGAACTGGAGGCTTCAGGGAAGACCCAGGGTGGGGCTAAAGAGGTGGAGGAGGGGGTCTCCACACGCCAAATCGCGGAGTGAGAAGGTAATTTGTTCTGGGAGGCAAGGGAGACCCACTAAAGGTTATTGAGCAGGGAGCCAACACTGTGCCAGGAGCCACAGGGTAAAAAAACTAGAGGTCTTGGTCCATTCACTCTCCCACTCATTTTACCTCGGCCTCCAACCTCTGACCTCTGACCTTCAGGAGCTCACAGGCTAGTGGGCTGTGTGCTCCATGCACATTTGGCCTGTGGAGTCTTTCTTGGGGTTGGGATGCCCTTGTACAAGGTCTATCTCAGGGAAACCTCTAAAGAGAGGAGGAGGCCTCTCAGCTGCAGCTGGTAGAAGAGACCAGTCTCCTCCCACCCCCAGTCTGGGCATCTAACTGCCGCAGCAGGACAGCTAGAGGGAGAATCCCCGGAATCAGTGCTTGGAGGTGAAGGGGCTGGCAGGAAGGGGGCATTGCTCCAGAGGCCACACAGCCCCTAGGAGCCCATAATATCCTATTATGAGGACAGCAGTGCCCACTTCATCCCAGCACCCCAGCCAGGAACCTGGGCCTAGTTTCCATACTTCAGAGAACTTTCCAGAAGGTGAGCAGACAAGACAACCCCCACACACACTATCAAGGCTGTAAGTACATGCTGCCTATATAAAGGGCCAAGAATAATACCCTCATCTGCTGAGCCAGGCCTGGCTGGCCCCCAGCAGGCTTTGCCAAAAAGGTGCAGTCACGCCATCTGGTTCTTGATCATCTGGCATAGAGCTGGGGAACACACATCCCAACCCCCAGTTAGCTGTGGCCACACCGAAAACCTAGCCCGTTATTACAGGACGGGGCAGTCAGGCTGAATCATTCCAGGGCAGACAGAAAGTCTTCAATTAGGGGAATAGCTTAAAGCATTTGTATCAGCTAGTGAGTAAATGTGACTCTCACCGCTCCCGAGGACAATTCTTCCCATCTGATTACTTCACACGTTCTCATATAGACATAACCATACATAAACAACAAAACTCACTATTAAGTGCATTGTGGGACATTTACTCCTGTAGATGGTGTCCCTGTGCCATTCGTTAGTCAAGAAACACACTTTAAATGAGAAATGGGCAGCATTTAAAAGTGGTAAAGGCATAACCCAGATGTGGACCTGGGCGGGGGAAGGGGGCAGGCATAAAATTAAAAAGAGAAGGGGCTGCACGTGTTTGGAAGGGGCCACGAGAATTTCTTAGAGGTCCTGCGCCCCTCCTACAGTCAGTTCTTGACCCTCACAGTGAAGAGGTGGACAGAGAAAGGGCATGAATACTGTAAGATGACGGAGAATTAAAGCAAACCAACAAAATCCCTTGCAGCTGGCTCTGGGATGCAGCCAAATGCAGATGCAATTCGACACACCCGCCCTCTTTCTGCACCCCCAGTGCCCAGTGCCTCCCCGAGCTGGCTGCAGCGCCTGTCTAGAGGCAGCTGGGCAGGGAGCCACAAGCAAGCATGACATGGATAACCCATTTGCCAAGATTCAAGAATCTGTCCCAAACTAGGGAAATATTTTCTCACGGGCAGCATCGTTAGAGAGGCACGCCCAGCTGTGCAGCCGGCGCATCTGCCCATGTGAATGGATGATATAAAAAGGTGGATAAAGGTGTCCATAGTTGTATCAGTGGTTGGGGAATTTGGCCCTATAGCCAGAAAGACCAGCAGCATGTGGAAGGTAAATTATGGTCCTTTTCTTCCATTTTTGATCCCTTCTCTCAAAACGACTATTTTTCAAGTCTTTATCCTGGTCCACTTAGAAACCAGATTGCAGGGCAAAAAACAAAGCCTCGTTCTTCTGTGAAAGAGAGAAGGCGCTCTGGGAGCAGTGTTTTTTTCTTCCTTAAATTAATGGAGGCAGGAGTTGAGACCAGCTGCAAGAAATATGTACCAGAAAATATCGCTGCCAGCCTCACCATGCACTCTCAGGCCATCTGGATCAGGGAGGGGGCAGAGTTTTCTCGGGAACCTCGCCTTCTCCTAGAACTGACTGTGGAATCGCACAGAGCAGAGTCGAAACCCACCACTTCAGAGCTGGTAATCTTAGGCTCATCACTTAATCTGAGCCACAGTTTCCCCATCTGTAGCTGGCACTCGATAGCGTGTGTGTTTAGCATGGTGCCCGGCATGTGGCCGGCAGTCAGCGAGGGGTCCGCATTGCCATTATTCACGAGCAGTGCCTGGGGTAGAGCAGGGAGGGCTAAGAACAAGGGCTCTGTCCAGCTTCAGAACGACGGGGAGGCAGACTGCGGGAACAGCAAAAAGCCACTTCAGGGAGTTGGGGAAGGAAGCTTGGGGGCAGGGGAGAAACAGCCACCAGGGCTCGAGAACAGCAAGAGATGCAGGGACACATATCCACAAGGGAAAGGGAAGCCTGGAGAGAGGACGCAGGAGCATGTGGATGCCAGCGGCGCACCCACACTCCCGCCCACGGAACGCCTGTGCCACGTCCTGCTTGTCCCGGGACCTCACACACTCACTTGCACACGTCTTCCCATCGCTGCGGAGCACGTGTCCCTCGGGACACTCACAGGCAAAGGATCTGTCCGTGTTGACGCAGGAGTATTCGCATCCGTGGTCGCTCAGCAGGCAATAATCCACCCCTGCAAAACCAAAGGCCAGGTGGCCCCCACAGCCTCCGCCAGTGAGGCCTCTGGGCTATGAAGGGAATCAAGTGACTGTCATGCTTACCACTGCCACCACACCCAGGCATGCAGTTCCCAGCTGACATCCCCACAGTCTCCCCGGAGCAGGGAAAAGGGCAGAGGAGAGGGGCCCACGCACGACCTGCGTCCTCTGCAATCATCACCCAGGTTCCACTCCTGGTGCAAACCTTTCCCTACAGGAGGAGTGAGGAGGAGGGACTCACGGGAGCAGGTCTTGAGGTCCTCATTGATGAGGAAGCCTTCTGAGCACTGGCAGACGAAGGACTCCTCCGTGTTCAGGCACAGCTGCTCACAGCCATGGTCCTGCTGCGCACAGTGGTCCACGCCTGCGTTTGTCACACACAGGAAGACACAGAGGAGACAAAGGGGCAACACTCCATCAGCAACCCGGATTGGAAAACAAAACCTTCTGGGAGGCACAAGGAGCCACGGCGAAGGTTTCATTCTGCCCCGTGCCACCTGCCTCTCTGGAAAACCAGCCTTGCTTGTTTGCTGGGCTTCCCATTTCTTTAAAGAGTAAACACAGACACCCCCAACGTCTGGGGAAAGCTATTGATGACAGCAGCACTCGGTGCCAGGGCCCGGGCACACAGGATCTGCAGTCTCAGGGCAACACCGAGGACAGGTGCGATTCCCATTTCACACACAGGAAAGTGGGGTGCAGGGAAGGTCAACGTATTTGCCCAAAGCCACACAGCTGAGCAGTGCTTAAGACAGAGGGTTTGGGCCGGGCGAGGTGGCTCATGCCTGTAATCCTAGTACTCTGGGAGGCCAAGATGGGAGGATCGTTTGAGCTCAGGAGTTCGAGACAGCTGAGCAAGAGAAGACCCCCGTCCTTACTAAAAGTAGAAAGAAATTAATTGGCCAACTAAAATTGTATAGAAAAAAATAGCCGAGTATGGTGGAGCATGATTGTATTCCCAGCTACTCTGGAGGCTGAGGCAGGAGGATCGCTTGAGCCCAGGAGTTTGAGGTTGCTGTGAGCTAGCTGATGCCACAGCACTCACCTCTAGCCTGGGCAACAAGAGAAAGAAAGGAAGGAAAGAAAGGAAAGGAAGGGAAGGAAGGAAGGAAGAAGGAAGGAAGGAAGGAAGGAAGGAAGGAGAGAAGGGAGGGAGGGAGGAGGGAGGGAGGGAGGAGGGGGAGGAGGAGGGAGGAGGGAGGGAGGGGGAGGGGAAGGAGGAAGGAAGGAAGGAAGAAGGAAGGAAGGAGGAAGGAAGGAGGGAGGAGGGAGGGGAGGAGGGAGGAGGAGGGAGGGAGGGAGAGGGAGGGAGGGAGGGAGGAGGAGGAGGGAGGGAAAGAAGGAAAGAAAGAGAGAGAAAGAGAGAAAGAAAGAGAGAGAGAGAGTGAGTCTGGCACCAAAGCACATGGCTCAAATCACATTTCCGCCACTTCCTAGCTACAGATGCTGGGCAGTCCCGGTTCCTCTCTGCACTGTTTTCTGACTTGAGAATTGGGGATCATGACAGCTGTTTTCTTACAGGAATGTGGTGAGAGTAAGAGGAGTTGACCCACGCAAAGGCCCTCAGAACAGCAGCTGGCACACCGCAACCACTTAATGAATACTTACTATTATTACCAAGAAGTGCTGAGTAAGGATTAATTGTATGGTTTTCTAATTGAAAATGAAAAAGAAAAAGTGGTTTTTTTAAAGCCCGTTAATCGGAACATCCAGATTCAGAAGACAGGAACGGGCACTGAACGCCATCCTGGCACTGAGCGCCACGTGGCTGACCCTGGGCAGTGAGCATGAAGGCTGTGAACACACAGCTGCGGTGAATGGCGCCCACAGCCCAGCGGGCTGCCTCCCACATTTCCTGGTTGGAGAAAATGCACCCCTAGAGGCTGCACAGACACTGCAGGCCTTGTGCAGGGCCACCAAGTAGCCTGGGACCAGTGCCTTCTGGAACATTCCACTGGCAGATGCACTTACTGCAAACACTTGCAGGATCTTAGGAGCCACATGCCTGTGTTCACATCCTGGTTCTGCCATTTACTAGTAATGGGCCCCTGGGAAAGTGACTTAATCTTTTCGTGCCCCAGTTTCCCCATCTTCAAATAGGGACAAGAATGGAGATGACACACAGGGCTATTGTTAGGACAAAGTTGAGTCAGTGCATGGGAAGTGCCTGCAGAAAGAGCACATTTTGGCCTGGGGGTCCCTGAGGCCTCAGAAGACCCTGGCTTTCTCCAGGGACTACTAGACAGAGATGGCTTGGTTTATGCTTTCTTAGAGTTGACTAGATCCCAGAGAGAAAGGAGGGCCCCAGCCTCTTGTGGCTGGTCCCCTGAGCAATTCTAGGCTTCTAGGCATGCTGGGAGAGAGAGACAGGCAGGCATGTCCCCTGCTGGCCTAGGTGGGTTCAGCCAAGGCAACTTGGGAGACCAGCCTGCCTCGGGATACCTGCCAGGGCCATCAGCAAACAGACCCCACACTCCTGGAAAAGGCAGGATATGCATAGACCCATCGTCACCAGGATGTGTCCTTGTTGCATGGGAGACCTCCTGTTCCCCACCGGCTTTTCGTGAGGACTCAGAGACACCCAGAGGCAAACACACAGCGGGCTCTGGCTTCTGCACCAACCTTCTAGTTCAAAAGCCCTCTGGCCTCTGAGATCAGGGCTTTAGAAAGCCTAAGGAGGCATTCTGCCCCTCTGCAGACATTTTCCCAGGAAGGGGAACGCGTTTTCCCGGGGGCTGCTCTGGAGCTCCTACTTCATCTGTGAAACTTCCCTGCTGGCAGTTTAGGGCCCAAATGCTCAACAGCTGCACTGTTCTCCCTCACAATCCATCTCTGTCTCCAAAGCGGAGCAGATGTGGGGCTTGCTGGGCGGAAGCCTCACAAAGGGCCCCTTCTGTGCGGGCCATGTCACGGAGCCCTCGCCCAGTGTGCCAGGGGCGCGGGATACACCGCAGCCCTCATGGCTCCCGCCCTGCTGGCTGGGACCAGTGGAGACTGTGCCTCATAAAACACAATGGACCCGCCCAGCTGGCAGAGCCTGCAAGTTCCCATGCGTTTACATCACCAAGTGGACCTTTGTTATGGCTCTGACACAAGAAAATTAAGAAAAGCCTTCACAGAAGGCCCCACATTTCTCAGCTCTGCCCTCATATCAGCCTGTGTAGCACATTGCTTTCTGAGGTCTGTCCCTTCTGGCCTCTTGTCCTAGCCTGGAACCAGGGCTCCAGCCACTCTCATAGGCTCCATGGTAGGAACTGTTCCTCTCTTTTTTTTTTTTAACAGTGTCTCACGCTGTCACCCAGGCTAAACTGCAGTGGCACCATCATAGCTCATTGCAACCTCAAACTCCTGGGCTCAAGTGATCCTCCTGCCTCAGCCTCCCAAGTAGCTGGGACTACAGGCATGTGCTACCACACCCAGCTAATTTTTTCTATTTTTTGTAGAGACAGGTTCTCATTCTTGCTCAGGTTGGTCTGGAACTCCTGGCCTCAGGTGATCCTCCTGCCTCGGCCTCCCAAAGTGCTGGGATTACAGGCCTGAGCCACCTCACCTGCCCTAGAACTGTTCTTGATTGGACGTTTACCTGGCACCAGGCACCATGCTAAGAGATTAAAATGGTCCTGATTTCTCCCCATAAAAACCCTGAGGAATTAATACTATTATTAGTTTCCCTTTTTTTAAAAAAAAAAATAGATAGGAAATCAAAGCTAGAAGTTAAATAAGTTGACCACGGTCACACGTGCAGTATGTGGTAGAGCTTGGATTTGAATTCTGGCCCATTGACTTAGTAATTGCTCTCCACAGCAAATAATAATAATGGTTAATATTTATTGAGCGCGTTTGCCCAGCAGCGCTGTTGTAAGTGCTTTACATGGATTAATCCTTTTAATCCTCACAACCCAACCTATGTGGTGGTGGGTAGTATGAACAGTCCCATTTTACGGATGATGAAACGGAGGTGGGGCAGGCTATCCTTAGGGACCCTCAGGAAGGCCAGGAGCTCCGGCAGGGCCTGGGTGCTGGGGAGCCCGCGGGGGTGGCCCCCGCCCGCCAGCGCCGGGCACACTCACGGCTGCAGGTCTTGCCGTTGGGGTCCAGGGTGTAGCCGCGGCGGCAGCGGCAGTAGGAGCCATCCTCCGTGTTGACGCACTCGTGCGCGCAGCCAGGTTTGTTCAGGGCGCAGTAGTTGATCCCTGCGGGGAGGAAGGGCAGTCCCCTCTTTAGATCCGGGCTTCTCCGGGGGCCCCACGAGCCCCAGTGGAGACAGCGCGTGGCTCTGCCTGCCAAGGCCACCGGGAACTGGCCATTCATCCGTTTATCCGCCACCCAGGCGCCAGGCCCTGAGCTGGATGCGCGGATGCGGTGGCCGGTAAGGCTGAGGGGCCCTGCTGCAAGGTCGTGCTGCAGAGGGGCAGAGAGGAGCGGGCGCCCCACCGAGTCCGAGTCCCCAGTCGGGGTGCCTTCCCGGAAGCTGACCGACTGCAGGCCGCAAGGAGGCTTTAAACAGGTAAAGGGGGCTGGAAGTAGCGCAGCGTGAGGACTCAGGGACAGCCAACACAAAGGCCTGGGGATGAGGGCACGGGGACATTTAGGGGTGTGGGGCTGGAGTGTGAGGACACAGATGGGGCTGGGAGGCGAAGGGATGGCAGGGCAGGGACCTGCAGGGAATGGAGCAGTGAAGGCAATAGACAGGCGGCTGGCGGTGGGACTGCTGGTGCAAGTTGCAAGGACAGGGTCGTGTTTGAAGACTCCGCCTGGAAGCCAGGCAGACTGCAGCAAATAAATATTCAGTACATAAGGCGCTCTACAGGACACAGAGAAAACAGCGCCTGCTCTCCTGGCGCTTGTTTGAAAGAGAGCCGGGTACCTGAAGTGTACCTCTGGGCTCCCCAGCAGCGGTCTTTTCCCCCTTGATGGCCAAAGAGCTAAGCGGAGGCTCAGTTAAGCTGACTTGATGGCCAAAGAGCTGAGAGCTGGGGTGAGGGCCACACTTCCCAGCCCATCCCCTTCCAGGAAAGATGGAAAAGCTAAGAAAATCCAATCAGTCTCTTCCTTGATCAGCAGTGTTCAAAGCACATACGGGGCTTCTGCCTGCAGCAGCATCTGACAGTGACGTCAGGCAGCACGATGCAGAATAAACAAAATCTGATCTTGCAAAACAGCCAGCTCTTTAGGGGAGTCAGGAAATGGCAGGCACATCAGGGAGGGTCCAAATGCTCAACCTTGCTCTGGCGAGATCGTGACAGCACCCGTACCATGAACCTGGATGGGACGTATCTCTGCCGCTGCCCAGGTTCCTGCAGCGCTGTCCTATGGTAAGTTCACCCCATCCAAGCTGTGCCTCTGCCAGAAGATGGAAGCTGCAGCATAACCAGCAGCCAATAAGCAATTCATTTCCTGGTAGAAAATGCTAAGACCACAAGATCCCACACACGGCAGTTACAAGGGGGATGGAAAACTGGAAAAGGACACAAAATGAGCTTGTGGAGGGCCTTTATGAGACTGGTGTTGAGGGAAAAGGTCACCTCCAACCTCACTGAATGACTGGGCTGCATTAGTTTAACTGCAGAGCATTGTTCTTTTTCTGGGAATGTGGCAGACACTGTTGGTTGTCTTGCCAACAACCATTACCCCAACACCCCCAAGGCACGAATCATGGCTCGTCTAAACCAACCTGGCAACCACAGTTCTCCCTTGTCAGTGATTGGTCAAAGGATGGGAATATGCACTAGTTCTGGCCAATGATACATAAGGAAAAATTTACTAGGGGCCCCTATGAAAAAATTTTGTTTCCTGAAAACACAAAGCTGCATGAAGAGAAATGCTTTTCTCTGTCCTCCTTCCTTTCTGCCTTTGAGTCTAGTAGCGTGAGGGTATGATGCTTGGAGCTGCAGCAGCCATCTTGTAGCCATGAGGTGACAAGCATGACGATGAAAAGTCAACATGCTTTTGCGGAGTAGAAAGACAGAAAGAGGCTGCATTCTTGATAATGTCACTGAGTCAACCCTGGGACAGCTAGCTTTGGACTTAGGTAAAAAGTAAATGTCCTTGTGACTTAAGACAGCATTGATTGGATTTTCTGTTAGCACCCTGATACAGCAGAAATGATCTGAAACCATAAAGTAATGAACTGAGAATCTACACCTTTTATTTTTACCATATATCTGCCCAAAAATTATTTGAGGAAGCTTAAATACACAAATGAGTTGAAGATATGACGCACAGCACCCTCTTGCTTCAGTGGCTCCTTATTGCCCTAGTTAACCTCTGTATGATCCAGCAATTCCACTTCTGGGTATATACACCCAAGTTCATAGCAGCATTATTCACAACAGCCAAAAGGTGGAAGCAACCTGAGTGTCCGCTGATGGATGAATGGATAAACAAAATATGGTGCATACATACAATGGGACATTATAAGGAAGGAAATTTGCACACATGCTACAACATGGATGAAGCCTGAGAACATTATGTTAAGTGATATAAGCCAGTCACGAAAGGACAAAAATATCGTGTGATTCCACCTATATGAAGCACCTAAAATAGTCAAACTCATAGAGACAGAAAGTAGATTGGTGGCTGCCAGGGAGTGGGGAAGGAAATGAGGAGCTATTGTTTAATGGGTACAGAGTTTCAGTTTAGGGTGATGAAAAAGTTCTGGAGATTGAAGGTGGTGATGGTTGTACAACAATATTAATATACTTAATGCCACTGAATTATACGCTGAAAATGGTTAAAATGGTAAATTTTATGTTCTATATATTTTATAACAAAAAGCCACCATTGTCTTTAAGGAAGATTTACATATACATATTTCAAAACATCTTGTACAAAATGTATATAATTTTTGTCAATTAAAAAAATAAATACCAAGAATATGTACAACTATGATATATCAGTTTAAGAAAATTATCAAAAAAGGGCTGGGCACGGTGGCTCACGCCTGTAATCCCAGCACTTTGGGAAGCCAAGGCAGGAGGATTCCTTGAAGCCAGGGGTTTGAGGTTGCAGTGAGCTATGATCATGCCACTGTACTCCAGCCTACACAACAGAGTAAGACCTTGTCTCTAAAAAAACAAACAAAAATACCTAAAAAAAGGGAAAAAACCAATATTTTAAATATATATATTTTTTAAAAGATTTACACAAAAAATAATTCAACGGAAAACATTTAGAACCTTAAAGAGGTTATCACTCAGCAATCTAGCAAACAGCAATTCAAAATTTACTCTTCCCAATGTTTCTTTTTAGCCGAGGTTTAACCATAGCTCTTGGCCTTCTCTCCACACTTGTGTCATATTTCCCACACAATACGTGTGTGTTACTTATTCACTGACTCATTTACTCCTTTCCTGAGTACCCAGTATTCATCCCATACCTGGCTAACTCTCCTCACAAACTGTGAAGTGTCACACATGGCCTAACCTTGGACACAAGTGTATCTGGTAAGGCCCAGAGTGCCCGGGGCAGATGGCAGGACTTTATGAGTGCCAATGCATGAAAGAACTGAGTGGGTAAGACGAAAACGTGAAGGATTAGTGACCTCAGGCAGTACACTTCGGTGCCAGCAGCATGCACAGATGATAAGTTTCAGAGAAACTGGAGGGGCGACAGAATGTTCAAGCAAAAAGTCCTGCTCCTTCAGTTTAGGAAATCCAGGTCCAGAGAAGTAGAAAGTAGCTGCTCAAGGTCACACAGCCAATATGAGTGACATCTCCAAGCCTGGCACATCTCTTGGCTTCCTGGGTCAGTCCAACCTGTGGATTTCACACCGGTTTTTAGAGTGGCCTATCTCCAGCCACAGGGAGCACCCACCGTGGCGCCAGGATCATGAATCATGGAGTCCAGCACTCACGTCTGATTCAGCCCTGGGGCTCCATGCACCCAGGCGGCCACGCCAGCCTCTTAATAACTGACACTGTGACAGTGCCTTACGCTGACAGTGGCACTATCCAGGAGGAGAAATTGTGTCCAGATAAGAAGCAAGAACAAATCCTGGCCATGAGTCTTCTCTTTTGTAGGATTCTGCCTTGAGTTTTTTTTTTTTTTTCCCCAGTTTAATTTGGATGACATAAAATTCCTTTGAAAAAAGATTTCTTATTAGATTTGAAAATAGCCAACATCCATCAACCTCCTATTAACTGTAAATGGCTGTACCCTGAGGTCGAGATTTGCAATGCTCAGATCACTCGAGAGACCTCAGACTCCTAAGAACAAACTCCAGATTTTAAACCCAATTCTTGGCTCCCCTCATCCACATAATGGTCCAGAGAGACAGTGAGCACTCGCTTCCATTTGCAGCTGTCTGCCTAATGGACTGAGCACAAGCATTAAGTCAAGGGCAGCTCCAAGAGGCTGGCCTCAGGAGTCAGGGCTGGGTCCACAGCAAAGACAATGGAAAATGTAACGATGAGGCAGGATGTTGAGAGAAGGGCTGATGAGGACACTGGGTTTTAGGAACAAATTTCATTTTTTTTGGATGAAAATGTAGGGCACCTGGTTAACGAGGTGCTATACCCACTGAATATACATGCACAAGCATTAGGGTATCTGGTCTTGGGCCACAGATTGCAAACAGGCCCATCTGGGGGCTAATTTGTGGTGGGAACCACTCCCACATGGTCACGAGTTTTGACTTGCTCTTCTGTTCTCAGCCTCGCTCCTCCCTTGGTAATGGCGCCTGCACTGCGTTGAACCCTTCTCTTATCCCAAGTGCCTCTCCAGGTTGTTGAGGGAGTGGCAGAGGGCGTGGAGGGAGTGGCAGAGGTCGAGGGACTCAGAGGATTGGTAAGAGATGCAGAGCTTCCAGAAAATTCTCCTCCAACAATGGCCACATGCCTAACTTTTCCTCCCCCTGCCCCCATCAGTAACACAGGAAGAAGCTTGCAGCCGAAATGAGCATCTAAGCTGAACCAGATCTACTCATCATCGCCCACATAAGAGCTTTGGGTCCTCAAATGAGTACACCTGTGAGTGATTATCCCCGGGTGCAGCCAGCCCCTCACACACTCACCCCTAGCTAAAGGTGTAAATGACAGAGAGAGGAGTGGCCAGGCCAGAAAAATTGGCCCTCCGATGCATCGCAGGCATGTGTGGTCTAATGGAAAATATCCCATCTAATTGTTTTCACATTCTGAATGCTTGCAATTAAAATTCCAATTTAATGCTTGAACATTTCCAGAGTTTGTATCTAGGCAAGGCAGGGGGAATTATGTTTTATAAGAGAGGTTCAGTTTCAAAATATGGGCTGTGCAACCATCTGCCACTATACAGAGCATAACACTTATTAGAATGAGCGTACAAGTTAATCTGTGCTATAAGCAGAATGTGACTCGTCTGGATTCCGTTATGTAACCTACAGTGCTTTTCATAAGAGATATATGGTGAAAGCTTTGCAAACACAGTCCTGCCATGCAGACCACTGCTGTATATATCGCCAGGAAGAAGTGGGTGAAGGAGCATACGTCCCTTATTGGAAGCTCCAGAGACTTCTGTGAATGACCTGGTCAGCTGACCCTGAACAATTCAGTGTGCGTAAGTGTGGACTAAGGCAAGACTTTTTGAGAAAAAAATTCACAACTTGCATGCCTTGAAAAGGCCATTTTTCTAACAAGATCGAGGAATTAAAATAATAGTTGCAATTTTTCCAGGATGACACATCTCAGATTCATTGACTCATTCATTCATCCATTCAACAAACATTGTGCTGCACCTATGTATGCCAAGTACTCTTTGAGTTACTGAGGATTCAACAGTGAGAAAAAGACAATCATCTCTGTCCTCGTGGGCCATCCATTCTAGCAGTCTCTCAGAAACAGTCTGGCGTAAAGAGGTGCTGTCTGGGGTCCATGCTCAGATTCTGGTCATACCCCTTGACGTGCCAGATGACAGGCATTTGAGATGCTCTGCACATTTCTCAATACCATCCTGCGGACACTCTGTACCCCTTGAATGCTGCTGGGAAGCCCCAGAGTCTCATTTATTTTCTTCTTTCCCATCAAAGAGGATAGAGTTGCAATTTACCCCCTTTAGCACCCATCAGCTGTCTTATCTTGTAGGACTGGAAGAAACCAGCTTCTTTTACCTCCCATCCCTGGGCACACTCTTTTCTCTTCCAAATACACACTGTGGGGGTGAGGAGGAGGGAGACTGCACCCTCATTTCAGATAGTTGGGACTTTGCTAAATGTATCCAATGTCCAGACTCAGTCTATTCAATCTTGAAAAATCATCCCCGTAATGGGATCTAATGGATCTAATGGACCAAAAGGTAAAAATTAAGGGCAGAATAATGTTAGTATACACAAATGCTGAGTATAAGTACATCTTGCTGAAGATTGCAGGGAAAGGAAAACTAAATGGAGAAGCACTTAGTGGAACGAACCCTTCTCCAACTCCCAGTGTGACTTACTTTTGCAGGTTTTCTTATCTGGGCTCAGGGTAAAGCCTTTTAGGCATCGGCAGAAATAGGAATTATCTGTGTTAACACACTCGTGCTGACATCCATGATTAGGTGAGGCACAGTAGTCTATCTCTGGAAAGAAAGAAAAATCATCAAATGACAAAATAATAAAGCTAGCAAGTGAAAACCAGGGGTTTTCAGTCTTAATTTTTCCTAAACAGGTAAAATCCCATGTCTTAAAAACATATGCTACAAAAGGAACCTCTCAATTATGATATTCCCATGTTTAAGTATATAGTCTCCCAGTAAGAGAAACTTCTTGACATAGTACAAAATGTTCACGCAACAAATGAATTTGTGAACATGCTTTCCTTGTCTTGGTTCATGTGAGAGCCACTAAAATGAAAATGGGTGGTTGTTTGCCAGATTACAGGCTTGGAAGAAAGAGCTTAGCTGAGTGGTTTATGGGATTTATACAATTAAAGCAATTTCACTTTCTCAAAGTCAAACGCCAAACCACTTAAACCCCTCAAGCAATTGGATACAAAATCATATCCTGGGAAATATAAGATCTAGGAATGATAAGCATAAATATTCTGAGTTTAAAACAGTTCCTCATAACCTCACTTGACTCAGATGCACATAAATAGGATTTTTCATCTCAAGATTCACAGTCAGGGAATATGATCTCTAGGAATACACTAACTTAAACCAAAAATTCAGAAGAAAATCGTTTCATGAAATTTGTTATAATGGGAAATTTTACTTGTATAAGTATTTTTAAATATGGAAAGAGACTGTTCTATTGAAGTGTCTGAGCAAAGTATTTTCCCACAGTGGAACTGGGATGCATTGCTTGAAATAAGTGGCCACTTATGGGCCCTTAAAAGAAATCTTTGTTTTGATGAGAATTTTTATTGTTTTAAGGAACATTTGAGCTACATAAATGATTTTCATAGTGAAAGATTTGGTATAAATGAGTTTTCCCAGTTTATACAAAAAAAAAAAAATAATAACCTGAGTAAGAGAAAGGCATACAATATTCATGAAAGGAATAATATTGAGTAAATGCTGATTTTTCCCAATTCAAAGTCATAGAAATTTTAAACATATACAAAAATGGACAGAATAATAAATCCATGTTCATATCAGCCACCTTCAAGAGAATCTGCTCTTCTTCCACCTGTACTCCCACTCCCCGTATTAAGATCCTATATTACTTTGACGCAAACCCCAGACATTATATCATTTTGCCCATAAATATTTCATTATGTATCTTTAAAAGACTAGGACTCCTTTTTAAAAATATAACTGCAATACCATGGTTCCATATAAAAGCATTTTTTAAAACTTTTTATTTGGAAACTATTTCAAACTTACAAAAAGTTACAAACATAAAAATAGTACAAGAAACATCTATATACTCTTTGTACTGATTCACTTATTGTTAACATTTGTATGACCCATTTGTATGACCATTTAGTCATCTCTTGGAACTCTTCGAGAGTAAGTTATATACATCCTGCTCCTTTTCCCTTCCTTTTCCAGCATGTGCTTCCTAAGAGAAGGGATGTTCTCTTATATAACGACAGTGTAGTTATTAATGTAAACTTCATAAATTTATACTGATACTTTCATTTAATCTATCACCCATATTCTTCTCTTGTCAGTTGATATAATACTATTTTTATAGCATTTTCCATCCTCCAACATAGGATCCAGTCTAGGGTCAGAGATTGTATTTAGTTTTCATATCTGCTTAGCCTCTTTTAATCCGGAACCATGCTGTCTAATGTGGCTATTTAAATTTAAATTCATTAAAATTATTAATAAATAATGTCAAAAATTAAGTTCTTCAGTCGCACTGGCTGCATCTCAAGTGCTCAATAGCCACAGGTGGCTCCTGACTACTGTTTGTATGGTGCAGATAGAACATTTCCATCAGCACTCAGTGCTCTGTTGGATAGCAGTGGTCTAGAACATTTCCACAGCCTCTCTTTCTGTTTTTTAACAGGCATTTTTTTTAAATTTAATTTTATGTTTTGGAGACAGAGTCTGACTCTGTTGCCTGAGCTAGAGTGCCGTGGCATCAGCCTAGCTCACAGAAACCTCAAACTCCTGGACTCAAGTGATCCTCCTCCCTCAGCCTCCCAAGTAGCTGGGACCACAGGCATGCACCACCATGCTTGGCTAATTTTTTCTATGTATTTTTAGTTGTCCAGCTAATTTCTTTCTATTTTTTTTAGTAGAGATGGGGTCTCGCTCTTGCTCAGGCTGGTCTCGAACTCCTGAGCTCAAACGATCTGCCCAACTCAGCCTCCCAGAGTGCTTGGATTACAGGTGTCAGCCACTGCGCCCAGCCTTGACAGGCATTTTTGAAAAATACAATCTCCCTACTTGTTTTTAGTTTTTTGAGGTATAATTGACAAAAAACAAACTGCATATATTTAAGATGAACCATTTGATGAATTTTGCATAAATATACTCCCATGAAACCATCACCACAATCAAAATAATGAACAAATGCATTACTCTCAAAAGTTTCCTCATGCCCTGTTCTAATTCATCTTCTCCACTCTCTAAAGTCCCAAGTAACCATCAATCTGTGATTTGTCAGGATAAATCAGTTTGCATTTTCTAGAATTTTGTACAAATGAAATCATAATAGTACATATTCTTTTTGGTCTGCCTTCTTTCTTTCATTCAGCATGATTATTTTGAGATTCATCCATGTTCATGTGTGTGTCAATAGTTTGTTTCTTTTTATTGCAGAGTAGCATTTCATTATATGGTTATAACACAATGTGTTTATCCATTCACCTATTGATGGGCATTTGAGATCTTTCCAGTTTGGGGCTATCACAAATAAAGGAGCTATAAACATTCATGTACAAGTTTTTGTGTGGAAATATGCTTTCATAGCTCTTGAGTAAATATCTAGTAGAATGGGTTGGTCATATGGTAGATGCATGCTTAGCTACTTAAATATTCCCATGAGTGTTTAGTTTATGAGAGTTCCAATTGCTCCACATCCTCACCAACCCTTGGTAATTTTAGCCATTCTGGTAGGTATGGAGTGTTTATCTCATTATTATTTCACTTTGCATTTTCCTAATGACTAATGTGGTTGAATACATTTTCATATGGTATTTCCATCTCCATATATCCTTTCATGCAGTGTCTGTTCAAATTTTTTGCCCATTTTCATTGGATTGTTTGTCTCATTATAAAGAGTTCATTATATATTCTAAATACAAATCCTTTGTTGGATATACACTTTGTAAATATATTCTCCCAGTCTGTGGCTTGCCTTTTCATTTTAGTAGTAGTGTCTGTCTTTTCAAGAACAAGAACAAGAACAATATATGCTGTCTTCAGGAAACACATCTAACCTGCAAGGATGCATATAGACTAAAAGGAAAAGGGTGGAGATAAGTATTCCAGGCAAGTGGAAGCCAAAAGAAGCTTGGCGTGGCAGTTCTAATTTCAGACGATTTAGTTTTAAAGCAACAAAAGTAGTGAAAGACAAAGAGGGTCATTATAATGGTGAAGGGCACACTTCAACAAGAAGAGATAACATTTTAAATATATATGCACCCAACTTAGGTGCACCCATTTCATAAAGCAACCTTACTAGATCTAAGCAAATGGATTAATAGCAACTCCATAATCACAGAGATTTCAACACCCACTACGGCACAAGACAGATCCTCCAAACAGAAAATTAATAAAGAAATAATGGACTTAAACAACCTTGGAACAACTGGGTTCGACTGACATCTAGAGGACAATTCTACCAAAATCCACTGAATATACATTCTTCTCATCAGCTCACGGGACATTCTCTAAGATTGACCATATCCTAGGACACAAAGTAAATCTCAAAAAATTAAAAAAAATAGAAATCATACCATGTACCTTCTCAGATCACAGTGGAATAAAACTAGAAATCAACCTAACAGAAACCACATTTCTACACAAAAACGTGGAAATTAAACAACCCTACTAAATGATTACTTCATAAATGAAGAAATCAAGATGGAAATAAAAATTCTATACTCCTACACTGCTGGTGGACTGCAAATTAGTTCAACCTCTGTGGAAAGCAATATGGAGATACCGTAAAGCGATACAAGTGAATCTACCATTTGATCCAGCAATCCCATTGCTGGGCATCTGCCCAAAAGATCCAATGACACGCTACATAAAAGACACCTGCACTCGAATGTTTATAGCAGCACAATTCATAATTGCAAGGCTGTGGAAACAGCCCAAGTGCCCATCAATCCAAGAATGGATTAATGAAATGTGGTATGTGTATACCATGGAGTACTATTCAGCTCTAAGAAACAATGGTGATATAGCACATCTTGTGTTTTCCTGGTTAGAGCTGGAACCATATATAAGTGAAGTTTCCAAGAATGGAAAACAAGACCACATATACTCACCAGCAAATTGTATTAACTGAACAAACTAAGTGGTCACATAGGTACCGCAGTAATAGGTATTGGCAGGTGGGAGGGGGCGGGTATACATATATAATGAGTGAAATGTGCACATCTGGGGATGCATGCTGGAGACTCAGACTTGGGGGGAGGAGGGAAATGGGCATTTATTGAAACCTTAAATCTGTACCCCATAATATGCTGAAATAAAAAAATTAAATTAAATTAAAAATGTCAAAAATAACGAAATAAAGTGAAAAAAAAAAGAACTAGTTTTCTACAATGAACCTATATTACTTTTGTAATCAGAAAAAGTACTAAAGTACTAAAAATAAATATTCACATTCATAACTGTGAAACTAGTTGCCGTGGAAAACAGCAGAAATAATAAAGAAAAAAGAATAATGTGGGAGGTGCCCAGAGATTTGGAGACAACAATAATCAGAGAACATTGCTGAAAACAATATATGTAGTTTCATATGTCCATATATGCTATAGTTGGGATGCCTGTCCCCCCAAATCTCATGTTAAAATTTAATCCCCAAAGTTGGAGGTGGGGCTTGGTGGGAGGTGTTTTGGTCATAGGGGTGGATCTCTCATGAATGTCTTGGTGCCGTCCTCATGATAATAGCCATCCTCATGGTAATGAGTGAGTTCTTGCTCTATTAGTTCCCTCATGCGCTGGTTGTTAAAAAGAGCCTGGCACCCTCCACATACCTTGTTTCCTCTTTCGCCATGAGATCTCTGCACACACCAGCTACACTTCACCTTCTGCCATGAGTGGAAGCAGCCTGAGGCTTTCCACAGATACCCAGTCTTCTAGCCAACAGAATCATGAGCCAAATGCTTTTTTCTTTATAAATTACCCAGTTTTGTTATGCCTTTATAGCAACACAAATAGACTAAACATCCAAAAAATAAAATACAGGTAACAAACAAAGCGAGTTTCAGACCTCCATATAGAGGAGTAGCTATGAGCTTATGGGTATTACTGGAATCCAGGCAGACAGGAACAAAATGCATGACTACGGAGAGAGCAGGCCATGTTCTATGGACCACAGAGCCTGCGTCACAGTCCCGCACACTATTCTAGTCACGCAACTTCTTTGCTGCATGCCTTGTGAACTCAATGGAGAAATGTGTGCTGAATGAAAGAATGATTGGTTGGGCTTGTAACTGCCTGAATGTACCCAGAGAATGCTGATTGCTGAACTAAGACTCTGAGCACCATTGCTGAACTGAGCAACATTGCTAAGCCTCAAGTTCCTGCCTCAGGGCTTTTGCACTGGTGCTACGTTTCCTCTGCCTCACAGTTCTCTTCCTTCTCTCACCTCCTTCAAGTCTTTGATCAAATGTCACTTTCCTGTTGAGACCTGTAGTCTTCTTTTAACCTGCTCTAATAGAATATAAGCTCCATAAAGACAGAGATTGGTTTTTTGGTTTTTTTTTTTTTTTGGTCTGTTTTATTTATTGCTGTAAGCCTAGTGTTTACAACCATATCTGGTATATAGTAGATGCTCAACAAATATCTGTTAAATGAATAGTTATCAGTATTACTCTTACTGGAGTATTTTGTGAGGGTTCAGATGTGTAAATATTGTGCACTAAGATGTGTAAATATTGTGCACTAAGAACCAACACGGGGTCACTAAGAATGAAAGACAGCTCTCATGTTCTCCTTTTTTTTTTTTTTTGAGACAGAGTCTTGCTTTGTTGCCCAGGCTAGAGTGAGTGCCGTGGTGTCAGCCTAGCTCACAGCAACCTCAAACTCCTGGGCCCAAGCAATCCTCCTGCCTCAGCCTCCTGAGTAGCTGGGACTACAAGCATGCGCCACCATGCCCGGCTAATTTTTTCTATACATATTAGTTGGCCAATTAATTTCTTTCTATTTATAGTAAGATGGGGTTTCGCTCTTGCTCAGGCTGGTTTTGAACTCCTGACCTCGAGCAATCTGCCCGCCTCGGCTTCCCAGAGTGCTAGGATTACAGGCGTGAGCCACCACGCCCGGCCTCTCATGCCCTCCTTAATGCTTCCTCCCACCAGGCTGTTTAAAAATCTCCTTCTAGTAGAGTCTCAGTTCAGCAATCAGCATTCTCTGGGTACAGACATTCGGGCAGTTACAAGCCCAACCAATCATTCTTTCATTCAACACACATTTCTCCATTGAGTTCACAAGGCATGCGGCTCTCTTTAGCAAGTTGGTCAAATGCCTATTAAAGTCTCAATAGTTGCTACCACATTTTCCATGCCTGGTTAGTCTATGAAAGGAAATAAGAGTTATTCTGATGTGACTCATTCTTAGTGACCACAAAGAATGCGAGAAGCTCGATTTGTTCTGTTGGTCTTTAAGAGCGAAGAAGTAGATATCAGCTCAGTCTGGGAAATCACTTTCTAAGAATCAGAGCTGTACAAAGTGGAATGAACCCCCATGGGCTATCACGAGTGTCCTGTCAGTGGTGTTCAAGTGCCAGCTGGATGACAGTGTAGAATGGGTAGGTGGGCAAGAACTAGATTGAACTTTACAGCCTCTTCCAACCAAGAGTCTTTGATTCATGCACACAGGGCCTCAGAAAAGTGGTATATATTACAGGCTGTAGAAAGGTAGCAGGGCTCAGCACATTAACTATTTCCTGGTCAGGATGCCTGACAACTGATACGTTCTAGTTCCTCTATTGCTGATTCGGTATAAAATTATTTCCTTCTGTATTTCGCTTTTAATGCAAGCACCAAATATTCATTCAGTGCCTTACTCTGTGCAAAGCATTCTTATTTGAAAAATGAGGATGGAAATGTCAACCAAGTTATCAATGGAGTCTGAAATGAGCATAATGATCTCAAAGTCAGAAAACAATAAAGAGCAATATTCAAAATATGGTGTCCACAATTGCCTTTTTTCATCATTACAGGCATTAGATGATTAAGCATTGGACTTGAACCCTACAGTCTCCTTGATACCAAAGATACCAAAGACATGGATTCCTATCTAGTATACTTAAGTCCTCTATATATCTTTCTGGTGAAAAGGCCCTGGATATCTGAGAGTGTTCTTTCTCAGGCTTGGCTCAAGAGCAAAGGTTTCATTTTAGATCTCATACTTCATATCTCATACCTCAATGCAACCTCCAACTCCTGGGCTCAAGCAATCCTCTTGCCTCAGCCTTCTGAGTAGCTGGGACTACAGGTATGTGCCACCACACCTGGCTAATTTTTATTGTTATTGTTATTGATGCTTTATTATGTAAATATTTAAACACTGATAAAAAAAAATAGTGGGTAGCTTCTGTACATTTTAATGATTTTTTTTTTAAGTTTCAAAACATTAAGGGGGTACAAATGTTTTTGTTACATGGTGGCTAATTTTTTAAATTTTTTGTAGAGATAGGGTCTTACTATGTTGCCCAGGCGAGATTCAAACTCCTGGCTTCAAGTGATCCTCCCGCCTTAGGTCCCACAGTGCTGGGATTGCAGCCATGAGCCACTGCATCTGGCAGGAAAACATTTTTTAAAATCTTTCAGCATCACAGCAGTGGCCAGGCTGACTTGGCTAGAAGCTGATGAGATGCCTTGGTACTTCCTGACAGGATGGCCACCTTGATTCTGAGCTTCTGCCTCCATCCTGTGTTCCTGTTCCTTTTAGCTGATCTCTAGTTCTCAGTTCTTGTCCCTGCCTCAGATCTGGAGCACTCCTGGGAGTCTCTGTCCTCACAGCTGGGCTTCTGCCTTATTTCTTAATCTGACAGCTCTCCAGGTTCTCCGAGTGTCTGCTTTCTCTCTTGGCCCTTTTCCTGCTCCCGCCACCCCCCCCACCCCCCCACCCCCCACCCCCCGCATGGTGGGAAGGGGGCTCTTCTGGGGGACTTATCACCCTGGTGCTGCCTGCCCAGACCCCTCGGATTTCCCGGCACTCTTCCCTGCCCACGCATTGGAGCGGCCCACTGCTGGGTCTTACCCTGACAGGGCCCAGAGACAGCTGAACTGCTGGGCTCCGTGCCTAGTTGGTGAGACCTCCCAGCTGGATCAGTCCCTGCCCTGGCTCCTAGCCAAACCTCCTCTCCAGGCCCCCTACACCGCCGCAGTATCTACTTGCACGGTCTGATCGCAGGGCTGAGACGTCCTCCTTGCCTGCACCAACCTGGGCCTTGGCTCTGGGGTAGAAGACAGGCTGAGCCACAGTGTGGGAAGATAGTGCCGCTCTGGGAACTGGGGCTGGGGGCAGGGGTGGAAGTCAGGTGACCCCAGCCAGGGAAGGCATTCTGTAGAGGCAGGAGAGAGCCTGGGGGAATCTCCACCCGTTCTGATCTAACTGGTCCCCTTCCCTTAGCTCCTGCCAGGGGTCTTGTCGGCATCACACTGCAGGCCCCAGGTCATATAACCCGTGGCCTCGTGACTGAGATGCTCTGTGTGACCGTGGCCCATGTCCCCACCAACTCCCAGTGGAAGTCTTGAATTGCTCATGCTCCTTTGAACTCAACCCAGGCTTGGGGTAGATGCTCAATAAAGACTAATTTAAAGCCTTTGAAGCTAGTATTGCCCCTTACAAGAACTTAGCACCTGGCAATTTGCTAAATGGTTTATATGAATTATCCCATTATGTCTTCAAGACAATGCTGTGAAGGTGGCGGTATCATCACGCCCTATTACAGGTGAGGAAACTGAGGCATAAATAACTTGCCCAAGATCACCCATAGAAAAGCAGTGGAGCCGGGATTTGAACCAAGACTAGCCCCCAGGAGCATAGGGCCTCCCTTTTGATGAGAGTACTGACTCACCCGCCTAGCAACCACAACCCACCCCCTCACCCACCATGACCACAGGCCAGGCAGCTGTTTCCTAGTTCAGAAGATTCAGAAGGGATGGGAGAGGAACAGAGCAGTCTACTCACTCATTCACTTATTCTCTCAGGAAACAAAACAAACAGACAACTGCATGCCAGTCACACGCTGGGCATGGAGATCTAAAACACCCTGTCTGGTTCATATCTTTGCATGTCTTCTCTTCTTCTGGAACCCTCATCTCACCCTTCTTTGGCTGGTGAATGACAGCTCCACCCTCAAGACTCTGCCACGGTATCTTCTCCTCCCGGAAGGACCCTGCCGTATTCATTTTTATTGGTACGTGGTTAGGGCTCCAGAAATGGGCGTTTTTAACTTAGTGTGGCCCTTACAGTTCCATACGCACCCCTGTCTCCAGCTCTGGTGTTTATAAGCTGCTGATATTTAGGGATTGAAGAGTAGGAGTTAAATTTATGTTTCAGGAGGTTTTGTGCAGATGTATACTGCTTTACATAATGGATGCGTTTTTAGAAAGGTTATAGGTACATGAACTTTTTATGAATTAAAATCCTATTTTCTCATTGATGTATGTTTCAGAGATGCCTTCTTATTCTAAATTGCTATTAAAATTCACTTTTTAAAAAGGCTGAACCCTAATACTTTGAAAACAAGCTTTTCTCATGTGTCCCTCCCTATAGGAGGATAATAATCCACACACGATCCCTTAAGGCTTTGGTGGACCTTCATATTTAAAAGGACACTTTTGGAATCCTTTTGCAAAACTAGTGATCACCTTTAGTTTATAGAGTCTTAGGTTCAGATTTGGGGAGCTAAAATGACTTCTGATTTTTATTTATAGTTAAAATCAAATAGAGCTAAATAGCTCAAACAAAACATGAGCACTTCTCTGCAAACTGCCATCCACCTATCCGTCCCTAACACAAACGAAACCGCATTCAATTCTTTTTGGCTCAGCGATTTTCTGGTACTTGTGTGGAGTCAGAGCTGAAGCTCACAAGCCGCAAAGCTTCAGTGAAAACATTCCTCAAGCCCTGTTAATACCCAGGGCCACAGCCAGGCTGAGTCGGCAGGAAGCAAGGTGGCCTGGTTACCAGCAGGCTCAGCTGAGGCTGGAAGAACACCCCCACGTGTGGTGGCTGATAAAACACAACTTCATCAGATTCCTTGAGCGGTGATATTGAACTAGAGTGGGTTACAGTCTTAAGGCCAGTCAAGAAACGTCTGACAGAGGAGGGCTGGGGCAGGAGGTTTCAGACCCCCCACAACATAATCATATGCTAATCCATACTTGGGAAATTTCCAAGGCCAGAGTCCCAGTAGCAGTCATATCAAATGCTTCTCTCTCTCTCTCTCTGGGTAACTTACTTGTGCACGTTTTTCCGTCTGTGTTAAGAGCAAATCCTTCACGGCACCGGCAAGAGTAGGAGCCATCAGCGTTTACACACTCGTGTTCACACCCGTGGTTTTCTGAGGCACAGTAGTCCACAGCTGTAGAGAATAAAACACATTCAGAGTTTAATCAGAAACGCAACCAGAGGTAAAAAGAATGGTAGGATGGAAGCATACTCATAGCAACTATGAGTAAGCATTCATATTGTTGATCCAAAAAGAATATGGATAAATAAATATGAATTCAAGACCTCCTTTTCCTTATTCATGCCCACCCCCCAAAAAATAGGAGTCTATATCAGGCAATTCATATCAGAAGATAAAGAACTTATGAACAATTGTATTTAAAAGTTAAAGAAATGCAAATCAAAATAATCACAGGACACATACCTATAAAACTGGCAGAAATAAAGATGAGATAAAACCCAATGGTGGCAAGGCAGCATGGACACAGGGCTATTAATATTAATGATGGGTGGCATTATAAACTGATAAAAATCCCTATGGAAGGCAATTTGACAATGTTCACCCTGGAAATGTGACCCAAAGAAATGACTGAAAAAAGAGTGAAATTAATGATATGCAATAGGCTATTAATAGTAGCATTATTTAATAAGATTTTTAAAAGGTCTGGAAAATAAGATGAACATTTAATAAGGATAAATGAATTAGTAACTTACGAGAAAACACACTGGCTCATTTCTCATTAAGTGCACAAATATTTAGTGAGTACCATCTAGGGTCTAGGCCCTGTTTTACGTACTAGGGATAGAACAAATAAGAAAACAGACAAAAATTCCAGCCCTCAAGGAGCTTATACGTGAGTGGTGATGGTGGGAGTAGTGAACAGACAAGAAATAAAATATATAAGTAAATAGCATAGTCTATGAGAAGATAAAGAGTGTCCTGGAGAAAAATCAGACATGGAACAGGAATAGGGCTGTGGGGAGGGGTGGGGGAGGGAGGCTGGGATGTCACGAGGTGGTCAGGACAGCTTCTCCAAGAAGGTGGCAGTTGGGCAGGGCTGAACGATGTACGAGCCTAGGGGACATCCGGGAGACAGCATCCCGGCAAAAGGACCGGCAAGTGCCAAGGCCAGGAGGTGGGACCAGGTATCCCTGGTGTGCTGGAGGATCAGCTAAGAGGCCAGGGCGGCTGGAGCAGGGGGAGGTGGGACACAGGAATGGTGCAGTCAGGAGGGGACCCATGGGCCACTGCGAGGACCTTGCTTTTACTCTGAGTTAGCTGAGGGTCGTTGGCCGGTTCTGAACTGAGGAGCTAAGAATACAGTGTAGAGGGCAGCTGTGACAGTGGCAAACCAGTCAGGGGTCACTCCAATAATCTCAGTGAGGAAGGATGGAGGCTTCAACCAGGATGGGGTGGGGAGAAGCAGTGTTCTGAGAGCTGTGGCTGGGATTGTGTCCCCCCAAAAGACATGTCGGAGTGCTAACCCTTGCTGCCTACCAATGTGGCCTTATTTGGAAATAGGGTCTTTGCAGAAGTAATAAAGTTAAGATGCAATCATTAGGGTGGGCTCTAGTCCACTGTGATGGTGTCCTTACAAGAGGAGAAGGCCATGTGAAGACAGCCACCCAGGGAGAACGCCAGGTGAAGACAGACGCAGAGACTGGAGTGACGCAGCCACCAGCAGAGGAACACCAAGGTTCCATGGCCACCACCAGAAATCAAGAAGAGGCGAGGGAGGATTCTCCTACAGGTTTTGTAGGCAGCACGCCCCTGCCAGTGCCTTGATTTTGGACTTCTAGCTGACAGAACTATGAGAAATAAATTTCTATTTTTTTAAGTCACCCACTCTGTTACGGCAGCACTAGCAAACTAATACACCGGGTATGTGCCCAAGGTGGGGCTGATAGAGACCTGTTGGGTTAGCGGTGAGGCAAGAGAAAAAGAGAAGAATTAAGGCTGACTCCAGGGATTGTGGTCTAAGCAACCAAGAGAAAGGAGATGCCATCAGCCGAGATGGGGAAGGCACAAGAGGGGCAGGTTTCATGGGAGGAGACCAGGAGCTCCAGTCCGGCATTAGGCAGCCATTAACATTACCATTGTGATGACATCACCGAAAATAGGGAGACAAAATTTGGTGAAAAAAAGTAGCTCATGAAATTGTACATTCACAGTGATTATATAGAGGGAAAATATAGCTCTAAGGCAAAGCCTGGAAATTAGAAACAAAAATGCATGTTGTGTTAAGGTAGTAGGATTATGGATAATTTTTTTTCTTTAAAAGTGTTTCCCTCTACAATGTTCTAGGATATATTAATATCACAATTGTGTAAATAGTAACAAGGAAATGGAATCTACAAAATTAATATATATGTGCAATTTTTAAAAAGCAAAACCATGCATGGAGAAGATAATAATATATTTAGCATAGTACTAAAACAAAGCAAAGGGAAAAGCTAAAGATTCTTAAAAGGTAATAACCTGTGTTATGTTTATTCTTTTGCTCCCAAGCTTCATTAATTTTCAGTCCAAATATTGTGTTTGTAACTTCACCTCCCTACACAGGTTTAACAGCACCTGATATTTATGGGCCTAATTTACCAGTCATTATGGTGGGAACAAGGCATTCACGTTGTCTCAAAGTCTGAATGTCATAGGACATTAGCCATTAGGTGCTGGAGTTGTCATAACATAAATATGGAGCCAGTACCAAGTCCTTATAAAAGTTAATTTCTCATCTCTCAAGAACCAATGGGTCATTAAACAAATTTATGGTGACACTGGGAACACTGAGATCAAGGAGTCCCAAGCCCTGGCACGTACTCCAGTCTGTGGGTTGCCAGAGTTGGCCGTGCCATGGCGCACATGGGCCTGTGTTAGCAGCCAGCAATCCTCACCTTCACCTCCTCACACTGGGCCTGACTCTCCATCTTGAAAATCTCCCAACCCCTGATATAGGTGTCTGCCATCAGGCAGCCAGTCCTACCTGTGGCGTTTCTCAGTACCCGCCTCAGAGAGAGGAGGTGTTAATCTGACTTCCAAGTTGTAGGACAGTGACGTTGCTACGATGATGAGTGGTCACGTCACTATGCCTAAAAGGCAGAAACTCAGACTCTACCTCTCTCTCTTCAACTCCCTCTCTTACACCATGAGGTGTAATCTCTGAGCCCAGCCACCTCTGTCCCTCAGAGGGATACCCCATAATTATGCTGGCCCCATAATTTAGACTGGATAGAGTTTGGAAGCTTTGCTTATGTGTTGAGTCTAAGCCACGTACTCTAAACTCTTCTTTTTACAGAATGCTATAGAATAGAGTATCCAATGTTGGCTCAGGTGTTTAAAAAAAGCTGTACAGAAGAAGCTCCTTGAACAGACCTCCACTTAACCAACTCCCAATCAGAGGGTCATTCCCTCTGACCATGTAAGACCGATGCCCAGAGTATGCTAAATGCCCGAGACAGCTGGAACACCTGTGTCTTGGAACGCTTATGCGCGCCTCTCACCGGCTGGGCTGTGGGCGTATAAAGCAGGCTTGGCGGAACACGTGTGCTCTAGAACACCTGCGTGCTCCTTCCACTGACTGAGCTGTATGCTTATAAAGCGTTGGTTCTCAAAGCACGGTCTGTGAACCAGCCGTGTCAACTCTCACTTGCGAACTTGTCGGTAATGCTAATTCTCAGGGCCCACCCAGCCCTACTGACCACATGCTCTGGGTGCGGGGCCCAGGAATATGTGTCTTAACAAGCCCTGCAGGTGATTCTGATGCATGCTAAAATTCCAGAGACACTGTCAAAAAGGGTCAAAGTTGTTGTCGTTCTCAAACCTATATATGCCCTTTGTACGTGTAATTAATTTCAATATAACAAAAACCAAGCAAAGGTAAGCACTAAAAGAAACTGAGTTTTTAAAAAATAAAAATTAAGTTGAGGCCAGCGTGGTGGCTCACGCCTGTAATCCTAGCACTCTGGGAGGCCGAAGTAGGGAGGATCCCTCAAGGTCAGGAGTTTGAGACCAGCCTGAGCAAGAGCGAGACCCTGTCTCTACTAAAAATAGAAAGAAATTAATTGGCCAACTAAAAATATATATAGAAAAAATTAGCCGGGAATGGTGGCACATGTCTGTAGCCCCAGCTACTTGGGAGGCTGAGGCAGGAGGATTGCTTGAGCCCAGGAGTTTGAGGTTGCTGTGAACTAGGCTGACACCACGACACTCTGACCTGGGCAACAGAGTGAGACTCTGTCTCAACAAAAAAATTTAAGTTGAAAGCTTTGGAAAAAATTAAGGCAATTTGCTCACCAAAACTGCTGTCGGACCAGGCATGGATGAAACAAGTGCCAAAGATTGGGAAATTTTTCATTAAAACAGACGAGGAATCTGCCCTTCACTGCTTTACAGAAGTCTTCAAATCCTTGCTCCAATTTAAAGGAACCAAGGCTAAAAATCATAGACGACACTTTATGGGTATGGTTTGTGCAAGAATGATTTTTAAATATCATATTTTGTCTTCAACTTAAAATTAGTATTTTTAAAGGTGTAATTAAAAGTAATTTTTATTAAGTGTACATGTATGTGTTTTAAATAAAAATAAAATGATTAAGGTAGGCTTGAATATGTCGTTTTTTTAGGATTACCCCCTTTAAATGACGTTTTCCATTAATCAGTCAACAACAGGCCCGATTTCCTGGGGTAAGAGGGCTTCTCCCAGATCTTGATTCTCACTCTGTTTTGTTCCTTGTGTGCACAGCTCTCTGGGGAACCTAGGGGAGGCGGTGATTGGCAAGGCAGGATTCAGGCATTCTGAGTCCTGGGCCCTGGTCTAGAAAACCCCCGGTTGTCAAATCCCATCTTGATCTGAGAGCTGCCACTGACTCCCTGCCAGGCTGCTGGGGACAGCAGACACGGGCATCGTTGCAGTGGTTAGACACGGAAGAACCCAGTTCCGGGCACGTAAACCTAAAAGTTGTTTTAAGTCCAAGAGAGTTCTAATTCATTCAACTCTGACATCCTTTGCCAAATGTTTTGGGTTCTTTGCATAACTTCCTTTGTTGCAAAATTGTAACAGAGGGAGGCCAAGGTTGAGAGGCAGATGTATGAAGGTGATCTTTGTGTATAACTCAGTGACGCCTTTATTGTTCCGAGTTCTTACTTACTTCAACAAAATCTGTTCTCAGTCGTTTTTGCCGGAACGTTCTTTACAAATGAAGACAGCAATTCTCTAGCTGTAGCTCTTTGGCCTTCCAAGTCACTAAGCGCTATGACCTCAGAGTCAGAAGTCAGTCTTGCCACGTTCAGTCTCTGCCCAATGTGTGAGAAATCAGTGGGCCGCCTCCAAGGATAAATGATACTTTGGTGCAAAGCAATAAAACCCAAGATCACCAGTTTCTGATTTATAATCTGGTCATATTCCCAGGTTTTCTCAGTAGGGATCCGTGTGCAAAGGGACGGCATTAGCAGAAACAGGATATTTTAAAGAGGAGCATTTGGATTTTAAAGTTTGTTGATCACAAAGGGAGAAAAACCAAATCTGTCATTTAGAGAAATGGTAGAACCAATTTACTTGCTGAGCATATATTAGACACAAAACATAGAGTGAGGCTCAGAAAACCTCTCTTCTCCAAGGCACAACTGGATTTCTTTCTTCTTTTTTACTTTCTTTCTTTCTTTCTTTCTTTCTTTCTTTCTTTCTTTCTTTCTTTCTTTTCTTTCTTTTTTTTTTTTTTTTTTGAGACAGAGTCTGACTCTTTGCCCAGGCTAGAGTGCTGTGACATCAGCCTAGCTCACAGCAACCTCAAACTCCTGGGGTCAGGCGATGCTCCTGCCTCAGCCTCCCAAGCAGCTGGAACTACAAGCACATGCCATCATGCCCCGCTAACTTTTTTCTATATTTAAAAGGGATGGAGTCTCACTCTTGCCCAGGCTGGTCTTGAACTTCTAAGCTCAAGCGATCCTCCTGCCTCAGCCTTCCAGAGTGCTAGGTTATAGGCAAGAGCCACCAAGCCCAGCCACGACTGGATTTCTATATACAGGATTTTAAAAACTCAGAGAAAGTTTCTTACTGATTTTGATAACAATAGAGGAGTGTTACAGGCTGAATTGTGTCTCTACCCTCCAAATTCCTATGTTGAAGCCATAACCCCTAATACCTCAGAACATGACTGTATTTGGAGATGGGGCCTTTGAAGAGGAGATGAAGAGACTGCTAGGGTGGCCCTAATCCAATCTGACTGGTGTCCCTATAAGAAGAGAAAATGTGGACACAAAAGAGGCACTCGGGATGTGCACACACACACACACACAACACACACACACACACACACACCCCATGTGAGGACACCGTGAGAAGGCAGCCATCTGGAAACCAAGGACAGAAACCCCAGAAAAGACCTGCTGACACCTTAACCTTGGACTTCCAGCTGCCAGAACAATGAGAAAATACATGTCTTTCATTTAAGCCCCCAGTCTGTGCTGTTTTGTTGTGGCAGCCCTAGCAAATTAACACGGGGGAAACCCAGTGTTTACCATCTTGGGGGCGGGGATCACATATCAAACATGAAGAGTTAGCCGATTAATTCAAAATCTGACCTTTCAATATAAAATTCATCCTCCCATCCCTTGTCCCCAACTTAAATATCAACCACCCCGTCCTCTCTGAGGAGAACTGACACAGGAGAACGTGGGAGAGGAGGCCCCAAGGCAACAGCAACGCCACGTTAAATCCCACTCGACGTGCCACCATTCTGGGTTTGCATGGACCTCAGTATGCTTTTTAAATGTACCATGCTTTCAGTATACCTACATTGTTAAACTCAAGCATTCTGAAGAAGACAAAAATTCATAAAAGGTATATAAATTAAGATTCAAGTAATGTTTATCAGTTGTTTATCAGTTTATCATCTAGTAGACATTTATAATGACAGCAATAATATTAACAAGCACTTACATAGCACTGCTCTAAGTGCTTTATGCACATTAACTCATTTAACTCTCCCAAGAACCCTTCGAGCTAGGAGGTATTAGCCTCAATTTACAGATGACGTAACTGAAATATAAAGTGGTTAAGAGACTTATAAAATGTGGATAACACTAGTACCTACCTCATAGGTTGTTGCAATATCTATCAAATATCTCGAAAGGGTCCTAGGACTTAGTAACATTCAATAAAGGTAGTTTGTATTTTTGCCACACTGCCTCTCTAACCAGGTAAGGTCGAATTTGGGAGTTAAGAGATACCTAAATGCCATTCATTTGTTTTGCAAGCATTTATTCGGTAATTACTCTGCAGGGCGGTGTGCCAACCCCTGTGTGGTAAGGACAAGCAAATACCACATGTAAGACGTCTTAGAAGAAATGCAGGAAGGATACGCCAGGCGCTTAGCAGTGATTACCTCCAGGAAGTGAAATTGGGGAGAAGCAACCTTCAGGTTTTGACTTTATACATATCTGCACTCTGGCTTTCTTTTTTAATAAGCAAATATTGATTTTGTAATTTAAAAACCAGTCAAGGGGAAAAGATTTTTTTAAAACCACGAATACTTGAGATTATCATCAGTCATTCAACCTCAGTCAATGATTCAAGAAAAAAAGAAAAACGTATCTTGAGTCCACTCTATAAAAGATGAAGAATACAAGTGGTGTCTGTCCTCAACAGTGTGTAATCTGCTTGGGCAGACAGGATGCAAACAGGACTAAAGCTACCCCAAAATGCAAAGCGGTCAGTAAATACCAGGTGAGTAAGTACAGCAGAAAATTCACCCTCAAAGATCTAGATAACTGGGCTTTGAAAAATATACAGTCTGGGATGGCAATGAACAAAGCTGCAGTGGCAGCTGATGGATTACACATTCGAGGACTCCACGAAAGCAAAAGGAGAATCCTAGACAGCAATCCACCTTTGCTCACCCGAATGTGGAAATAAACTCAGGAGTCAATAGTGAAACGAGCAGTCAGGGAGAGGGAACTCTGGCACTCCAAGTTAATGTTCCTGTTACTCAAACGTGGGGAAATGTCGTATAGGCAGGTCACAGACATGATTCAGGGATGTGTCAAAGTACTAGAACCACTGTGAAGGTGGCTGCAACCAAAAACCCACTGCATTGATTCACCAGTAGCTGGACATGGTTAACTTCTACCAAATTTCTTTAAATAAATAGTTTAGACCTGCTATCCACACTTTCTCATCACCTACACCCCACCCTTTTTACCACCACGAATCCTCCTGGTCATCTGGCATCCTTCATGCCTTGCAGAGCGCCTGGCAGAGAGTGCTGAAATGTTTGCTGAGGTGAATCAGGGACTCAACTTGCTGGCTTTTTCTCTAAGTTCTATTTCCTTTGACCTTGCTAGAGCATGTCATTTATATTGCCCTGGGCTCGGCGAGGTGGCTTACACCTATAATCCCCGTACTTTGGGAGGCCAAGGTGGAAGGATTTTCTTTTTTTTTGAAATGGGATCTCACTCTGCCTCCCAGGATGGAGTGCAGTGGTACGATCATAGTTCACTACAGCCTCAAACTTCTAGGCTCAAGCGATCTTCCCACCTCAGCCTCCTGACTAGCTGGGACAACAGGTACATGCCACCACACCCGGCTAATTTTTTTTTTTTTTTTTTCGTAGAGACGGAGTCTCACTATGTTGCCCAGGTTGGTCTCAAATTCCTGGCCTCAAGTGATCCTCCTGCCTCAGCTTCCCAAAGTGCAGGAATTACAGGTATGAGCCACTTTACCCAGCCTAAAACTATCACTATTAATAATGATTTTTCACATCTGCTTAAGAAGCCTCAATGAAAGTGTATTACTTGCACAATAAAAATTAATGAAGCAAAAATAATCATTGGTGTTTACATGTTGATTTCTTTTTTGCTAGTGTTGGTGGAGGTGGTACCCTGCCACTCTACCATGGTCACCAAAGCAGATTAAGAAAAAAACAACCCTACACTCATGAGACTCACTGCATTTGTGGCCTTCTGATAAGGGTGGCCTTCCTCATCATCAGTGTGGAAAAACAAACCCATAATACTCTCATCACTCACCTGCAAATAACAGGCTATCACTCACACTTTTTGTTTTGTTGCTTTTTTCCTTCGACATCCTTAGTTAAGGATCAAGATATGCTGAAAATGTAAATTCTATGTGCCAAAAAGTAAGCATTCATTGTTTGTGGAAAGCAAGACATAACAGGGCCCCTGAAAACAATGGAAAATGGAACAGAAAATGCAGCAAGCATTTAGTCCAAAAATCTAGATTCCTGTTCTGAAGTCAGTCAAGTCCTTTTCCCTCCAGATTTTCTGCCTCATAAGTATGCAGTTCAGTTTATTAAACACCTACTATTTGCCAGGCACTGTTAACAAACAAGTGCGAGGATGAATGACACCATGCGAGTTTAAAGGGCTTTGTAGATAAACAGGGAGGTGCCGCACGGGTATTAGGATTTGCTGGGCTGCTCTGCAGGTGCTAAGGAGAACTAGTATCCATCACTGAAGATATCGGATGCCACCCATCTGTCCTGCCTCTCACCTGGTCACTCAATGTGGAGTCTCCCAGGAGGGAAGTGCTCAGCTGACCCTGACTCAGTGCCTGTAGTTCCAAGCACTGCCCTTGAGAGCTTCCTGGGCTTGTGTTTATTTTCTCTGGTCTTATCATATCCAGTTGGGCTCTTACATGTGTTAGTCACTTGGGCCTCTTGCTGAGCTGCAGGTCCAATACTATGGAGGAAGGGTGCCCATGTCTTTGAGGTGCCACTCAGCAACCCCGCCCACCACCAAGTCAATGTCACATATAACACATGAGCTATATTTAAGTCCGGCCATCCCAAACTTGAAGCAAATCCACCCAGTCCTCCTCAAGCAATGCAGTAACAGACGATGACACTCACATAGATTACCATAAGTATGTCTTTTGCTAAGGACCCACAATGAAAAAATGCTGACCTCAGCCATAAATGAAATCTTTAAAGTTCAAATTCTGCCTAACAACTAGACCGATGAACTGAGCAGTTTGTTGAAACCCAGCGCAGAGTAAATAGATCTATGGGGGTACATGTTGAATCTCCCTTCTCCCTCCTCACTGGGCTCAACTTGGCCTTCCCCACTAAGCAAGGCTGGGGGGATACTCACCCACACACCTTTTCCCATCCTCGGCCAGGGTGTAGCCACTGTAGCACTGGCAGACGAAGGAGCCCGGCACATTCACACAGAGCTGCTCACAGGCGTGGTCCTCCATGGCACACAGGTCCTGGACTGGGGCAAAGTCACACCATTAGGACACAACACCAGGGCAGGTGCAGCCTCAGCACGAGGCCATGCAATGAGCACTTCGTAACATTTGCCAAAATGACTTTTAAAAGCATTACAAGGATTAACATGTGGTCATGGCAGAAAGTTTGGAAAACATAGAAGAGTAGATAAAAAGAAACATCTACCTATAATCCCCCCACCTGTAATTCTACCACCCAAAGGCAACTGTTAACATTCTGATGAGGGTATGGGCAATATATGTAATCTTAACACTGTACCCCCATGATACGCTAAAAAAATAAATAAATAAACAAAAAAACAAAAAACATTCTGATGAGTTTTTCTTTCCAAGTGAGCTTCTGCATATATATAAAAACATATTTTTCAAAGTTGGAATTATTCATTGCCTCTATGAAATACATTGAATAATATTTAATTAATATCAATTGGTATTTCCCTATGTCAATGAAAAGTGCTCTGAAAATATCTTCATGGCCCCTGAGAGCTGTCAGTTTTCATGAGCAGCATTTGCACTTGTTGGCATCAAGCTCCCCTCTTTTGGGAATTTAAAGTGCTTCGTAATCACAGTCTCACCGATTTACACTGAGATGATTAAGCACTTTGACATTTTGCAGATGGAGCGGCCGACGTAGGATTCAGTGAAAGGACCTGTGACTCCACCAAGGCACAGCAAGTCTAAGAATAGCCCTGAATTCCCAAGTCGGCACCGTTCCCTTAGACATGCTTTCTTCATTCCATTTGCCTACCAGAAGGATCTTTGAAAATCCTCTTTGTGTTCTATTTATTCAGCCCAGTAACAGACAAGGAGAATGGGAAAGCCCAAAGAGGTTAGGTAGAGGTAACAAAGATTACCAGGAAGAAATGGATGTATGGCTATGTGTGGTCTTATTTTGGTCAAATGTTTATTAAGTGTCCACAAAGTGCTGGGCCCTGGCTATTTATTCACATGCAATGTAGGAATGCACTAACAGAATGCATCTGCTGCAACAGAATGAAGAATATATCAGAGTATGAAAAGGTTAAGGGCATCTTCAATCTATCACTGACTCAGTCTATGACACTATTTCCCAGCAAGGAAAACAGCTTGGATGCTATGAAACAGCTAGCTCTACCAGTGATTTTACAATTAAAATTGCAGAAAATCAGAGAGGATTAATGGGATTGAATACATGAAAGAGAATTTTCTCTGGTTAAAAGCTATCACTATGACAGCTATGATAAAAACTCAATTACCTAGAAAGCTTGATTAATCCCTGAATCTAATGGTTATATCTTAATATCTCCTGGATCTTTGCATTTCATAGTTTATTACGCTTTTTGATAAATATAAAATATCAAATTGATAAAAAGATAAAAGTTGATATGATTCAGCATCTCTATTAAATGTATTAAATAATTTTTAAAAATAAAATCTACATCATCACACTAAAAAATACTTAGGCCTAAGATTCCACAAATAAGGATTCTGGTTTTAAAGTCCTGAAAGAAGTATTTTTACTCCCAAATCAATAAAGTAGATGAATAAAATTAAGGACACAAATTCCTTTACCTCTTACCAGTATGTTTACATCTTAGATTTCTAGTTGGGAACCTGGAATGGGACTTTCAACATAGATTTCCCATGGATTTAGATGTAAAGAAAACACCAATAACCAGAAAAACACTTGCGTTGATGCAAAAATCATAGTGAATCAAGGAATGACAAAACCTGCAGTTAATTGTAAGCCTAGGCCGGAGATACAATCTGAATCATAGGAAGGATATTCGTTCATTTACTCAATAAACATATGTTTGGGTGTTTTTTTTGAGACAGAGTCTCACTTTGTTGCCTAGGCTAGAGTGCCATGGCATTAGCCTAGCTCACAGCAACCTCAAACTCTTGGGCTCAAGCGATCCTCCTGCCTCAGCCTCCCGGGTAGCTGGGATTACAGGCATGCGCCACCATGCCTGGCTAATTTTTTCTATATGTATTAGTTGGCCAATTAATTTCTTTCTATTTTTAGTAGAGATGAGGTCTCGCTCTTGCTCAGGCTGGTTTTGAACTCTTGACCTTGAGCAATCCGCCTGCCTTGGCCTCCCAGAGTGCTAGGATTACAGGCGTGAGCCACTGCACCTGGCTATTTACTCAGTAAACATATGTTGAGCACCTACTATGTCTCAGCCATTGGGGATATAGCAGTGAACAGACGAGATCGGGTGCGTTCAGGGTGGTAGTATAGCAGTGAACAGAATAGACGAGGGGTTCCTGCTGTCATGCAGCTTGTTTTCTCTCAGGGGTTAGTAACATGAAGGTCTAGGAAAAAGAGTATTTCTGGCTAAAAGAAGAGCAAACGCAAAGGTCCTGTGGTAGAACAAACTTGCCCCACTTGAGGAAATGAAAGGACTGAATGGCAATGAGATGCCACATAAATAACTAAAATATGAGGCAGAACATGATAGAAATCGCTAAGAGAGGTGCTGACGAGACTATGGGAGTTCGGCATCGGGATGGATTACTGCCAGTCAGGCAGGGCTCGGGAGAGGCTCACAGGTATGGAGAAAGAGAGTTGGCTCTCCCGGCTCAGGAAGTGAGTACACATGCAGGACAGGTGTGGCAGCCGAGTCCCACTCTGGGAATTCTGGGGAAAGCAGCAGAAGGATGGGAAAGACCACTGACCCCAGACAATAGAGCGCCCTCTGCAGGCAGGCTGAGTAGTCTGAACTGCGTTCAGCAGCAATGGGGACAACTAAGGGAAAAAATTTAAAAAGGGAGACTTGCAATTTGTGACATAAATCTGGCGGCACCACAGAGTCTCTCAGCTCTGGGAAACTTCTTTAAGGACTTCCAGCACAGTTAAATGAAAACCACTGCTTTGTTTGGGAATAGCGGTAGTTATCTGAATTCCAGGCTGAAGGAGCCTGGGTTTACCTGCACCGTGATGGGAAAACTAACCTCTTGCTTTGAGGGCCTTCGGTGTACTTCGAGCTTGTGGCCTCATCCATTGTCTGTCAGCATTTACGCAGCAATGCATTTACTGTGTCTCGCTTACTAGGCTCCAAGCTCCCAAAATGGGTGGGCAGCATCCCTGCACAAAGTCCTAATGGCTGGGAAGTGATGCTCCAGCATGCTGGACCCAGCTGCCCCCCAGCGTCCCAAGCCCGTCTCTGGAGAGGAGGCAGGAGCTTCTGCACCCAGGTCCTCCCAATCTCTGCTGAAGATGCTGCCTCACCCCCCTCAGGGGTCCAACAGGAACCCGGCCTAACCATGGTTGCCGAGGAGTGGTGGGAGTACAGGAGATTTTTATTCTCCTATTTATAATTGTCTCATATCAAACTTTCCAACAAGAGATTTTGTAATAATGGGGGGAAGGCCGGGCATGGTAGCTCACGCCTGTAATCCTAGTACTCTGGGAGGCCGAGGTGGAAGGATCACTCAAGGTCAGGAGTTTGAAACCAGCCTGAGCAAGAGCAAGGCCCCATCTCTACTAAAAATAGAAAGAAATTAATTGGCCAACTAAAAATATGTAGAAAAAATTAGCCGGGCATGGTGGCGCATGCCTGTAGTCCCAGCTACCCGGGAGGCTGAGGCAGGAGGATCACTTGAGCCCAGGAGTTTGAGGTTGCTGTGAACTAGGCTGATGCCACGGCACTCACTCTAGCCTGGGCAACAGAGAGAGACTCAGTCTCTAAATAAATAAATAATAAATAAATAAAAATAATGGGAGGAAAATCAACATATTGAAGGTAGCATTTCAAAAGCAATGAACCAGGACCTAGAAGGAACACTCTTTTTTTTCAAAAGACTTCCCTTTCCAGGGTAGATAGAGACAATGAAATGCTTATTACTTTCAGGACAGGCTGGGACACCCGTCTACAGAAGTGACAGTGCCCAACCTCAGCTTCCCATTAGAACCACCTGGACACCTTTTGAAAAATCTTGATGCCAAGTTATACTCTCCTCCCCCTGATCAAACCAGACAGGTTGAGGTGGGATTCGAGCAGCGGTGTTTGTTAAAACTCCCCAGCGGCCCCCGGTGCCCAGCCGGTCCCACACTCCTCCGGGAGGAAGGTGCCCAGACCAGGAGTCAGTCTCCCGCTTTATTAACTGAAACCTCAAGGCTCAATTTCCTCTTTTAATTAATCTCTAGTGACTACTGCCCTTGCTCCCCTCTCCGAGTGGCTGGAAGAACCCGACACCTCCATGAGAGTGCGAAGCGTGGTAGGACCAGGCGGGACTGCTGCGCGCCTTCCAGAAGAACGTCCCACAAACAGCGAGCCCGCCAGCTGGCTTCGTGTGGGCCCTGCTTTCGTGCTGCTTTTAGAATGCCGGGGATTTATGGCCACAAATGATTTGTAGCGACCCAGGGGAAACCATTGAGGGATTAATCTAATTAAACAAGGACAAAAGAATAAATACAGACTGGGTTGTGACAAAACAACTTTGCTGTTTTTCTGGCAGTGGTCACTTCCTTTTGAAACGAATACAGATGTTTTTGGATGATTCCTTATGCTTTTGAAAAACAGCACTTGTTTTAGCTGGGAGGAGGATTTTGCTGAAGGGCGAGAAGCATTGGGTTCAGAGCTCCTGTCCCCTGGCACAGCCTTCCCCACCTGGTGACCCCCACTTATGGCTCACAGCCCCAGTCACGTGCCACCCCACTAGGGACATCTTCTCCAAGTTGGCTGTGCTTCAGCTTCCTCCCCTGGGCTTCCACCGCATGGGGACACAGCTCACTCTAGCATGCACGCCCTCGTCCCAAGACATTGGGAAGACGTGATCACACGTCCGTCTGTCCCATTAGTACATGAGCTGGTCTGACTCAGAGCCTCCGGCAGTGCCCCGGCATGTGTAGCTCGTCTCCATAGGCGTTCATTTGCTGAATGTAGGATGACAAAAGCCCATATGCTCTGCTTCCCAACACGGATGTTCCTAACGTCCTAAAAATACTCTCCTCCATCAGAAATGAGGTCCTGGGAAGATGAGTGAGACGGGAACAAAACTCTCTCCAAGTCTCCGTGTTTCCCGTCTCCCCAGCAACAGGAATTCCCATACCAGAAGAGGGCTCAGAGTACAATGACAGCTGAGAGCCAGCCCCCAGCTGCAGACACCAGAGAAACTGCCATGGCAGTTAGGGCACCCGTGCGCCTTGCTATCTGCGAAATCCCACTACCTGACACAGTGCTTGGCACAGTGCAGTTGTCCGACCAATACAACAAATACTTGTTGAACCGAGAAATGACCCGTGCCCACGTTACACAGACAGGGCTGTCAGGTGTTCCGAACTCATCTCTCTACCTAGGCTGTAAGCTCTGAGAGGGACAGGGACATGAGTCTTGGTCTTCCTCGTGGAGCCTGTACAATACCATGCATTCACACGGCTGGCGCTTAGTGGCCATCTGTTGATTTGACTCGGCAGCCTCCCTTCCTGGCCAGCCTAGAGCACTGTCTCAATTAACGCATGTCACTGGGCAGAAGTGGGACAGCTGGGAAGGAACTGAAGTATTCTTCAACTTCCCCGTAGCAAAGAAGATTTTAGATTAGCTAATTTTTACCTTGACGTCAAGGATGGCAGCAGAAACTTGGAAGTCATGGGGCTCCTCACTCTCCTGCACCCTTCAGATGCAATCAATCCTCAGGTCCCACCGACCCACTTTTCTTCACCTCCCCTGCCAACATGGAGCCACCATCATCTCTCGACTGGACAGCCAGGGTAGCCTCCTAACTGGTCTTCTTGTATTCATCCCAGCCCAGGGTTCTCCTGTGACCAGAGTAATCAGCTCCTGCTTCTCCTCTGTTTAAAACCCTTAATGCTCCAGGATGAAGTCCCCAATCTCTAAGGTGTGGTCAGGGTTCTGCACCATCCACCCCTTCACCTCTCCAGTCTTTTCCAATGGCCTCTCTTGTTTTCTCTGCTCCATCTACACCTTCCTCTCCATTTTTCAAATCAAGCTTCTTCATACCTCAGGACCTTTGCACATGCCATTCCTTCTACCTAGAATGCTCACACCCCTTCCTTGCCTCCTTTTCAGCCATCTAACTCTTATACATCCTTTAGGATTCACCTTAAAGACTACTTTCTCAAGGGACCCTTACCTGCCATTAAGGGTCAAGTCCTCCCTCATAGTTTCCCTTTGTAGTCCTCACCGTTATTATAATGTACTACTTCATTTGCAATGAATTATTTCATGTCTATTTCCCCTGCCACATGAGGGCAGCCACTGCGCTTGTCTTTTTCAGCACACTAGCTCAAACATCTGGCATGTGGTCAATTTAAAAAAATTGTGAATGATTGAATTAATTTGTTTAATTATGAAAGAGTTCAAAGCACTGGGGAAACAACAGTGAATAAAACAAATGAAAAAAAAATCCCTAGCCTCATAGAGCTGATAGCCTAGTGCTGGAAGCAGCTGTACCGACTCACAAGAATAGATTATGGCACAATGAGATATCACTTAACCCCAGTGAGAATGGCCTTTATCAAAAAATCTCCAAACAATAAATGCTGGCGTGGTTGCGGAGAGAGAGGAACACTCCTCACACTGCTGTGGGACTGCAAACTTAGTTCAACCTCTGTGGGAAAGCAATATGGAATCTACCTTAACGCATACAAGTGAACTTACCCATTTGATCCAGCAATTCTCCATTGCTTGGGCACACCCAATATGATCCAATGACACCTCTACAAAAAGACACCTGCCACTCCGAATGTTTATAGCAGAGCAACAATTCATTATTGCAAGGGCTGTGGAAACACCCCAATGCCCATCAATCAAGAATGGATTAATAAAAGTGTATATGTATACCATGGGAGTACTTATTCAGTTCTAAGAAACAACGTGATATAGCACATCTTATATTTTCCTGGTTAGAGCTGGAACCCAAAACACTAAGTGAAATATCCCAAGAATGGAAAAAAGCAAGCCACGATATATTCTCCAGCAACTGGTATTAACTGAGTAGCACCTAAGTGGAACACATAGGGTACTACAGTAATAGGGTATTGGGCAGGGTGAGGGGGAGGGGTGGGTAATACAATACATAATGAGTGAGATGTGCACATCTAGGGATGGTCATGATGGAGACTCAGACTTGTGGGGGAGGGGGAAAATGGGCATTTATTGAAACCTTAAAATCTGTACCCCCATAATATGCCGAAAGAAAAAAAAAAACAAATTAAGGCATTAAAAAAAAAAAAGAATAGATTATGGGCATCTCTTCCCAAGTCTGCATTCAACGAGGCCAAGTTGGTAGCTTGAGAAGGCCAAGGTGGGAGTATTTACACCATGGAAATTGGCAGACACTTCAAATCGGAGCTTTTTTTTTTTTTTTTTTTTTCTGAAGAGTTGATTGTTCAACATTTACCAGCACATCACTGAGAGGAACCAACGAAAAACAAATTGAGTAGGTAAAAATATGTGATAGGTTATAAGCAGGAAAGAGGAGTCGAGCATATGGAGAGAGCAGGCCTTCCATTTTATACAGTGTGATCGAACGTGTTTTTACTGAAAAGATGATTTTGTACAAGGACCTGAAGGAAGCGATATGAAAAACGAGGGATAAAGGGGCCCACCATGGGGGAAGGGCTGTATGTCAGTTCCATCTCTTCAGAAAAGGCAGGGGTGAGGCAGTCCACTGAAAAGAATATCGATTTTAGAGCCAGACTCGGCCCCAGCTGGGGGACCTGCATGACTTCAAAAAGGGACTATCATGAGATGTGAGTTTCGTGGAGAAGTTGAACAACTGAGTGGGGGAAACATCTTATTTGCAGGGTTAAGTGAGAGAATCTAGATGGGCAAAGCATCTGATCACAGCAGGTATTCCACAAACGTGAATCTCCTGCTCCTTTCCTAAATCCATGATGGGGGGGCAGGGGACTCTTGGTGGTACAGGCCTGTTTAAGCACCAGAGAGAGGTGAACCGCCACCAAATTTTGCCCACATAGCAATTCTAATAAAGATGGCTTCACTTTATTGGGTACCTGTGAAAACCTGAATCACAGATATTAGATGCAAACATTTTTTTAAGTATCTTTGGCTAAGTTTTGGTTTGTGAGTTCTCTGTTGAATTGGTCTGATACAGCAAAGTAGGCAAATTTTGAATCTTACAAACAAAGATCTGGCCAAGTTCAAGCTATGCCCTGCCAGAGGGCAACCATTAGCACATAGCTGACAGCAAAATCTGCTTGCTTCTTTCAGTTCCTGGAGAATTTTACGAGGGACGGGAACTCAGTCTTCCCAGGTGAAACTAATTAGGGAGGATTTGTTAGCTAAGAGCTGACAAAGCTGTGCTCAAATCCATCCACGGTGTCTCCCAGAGGCTCCCATGCACCCTGTGTTTAAGTGCTTTCCTTCATTTGTGACCTGGAAACCCTGGCGCCTGCATCTCAGCCCAGAGAACTTGAGAACTTTCATCTGGTTACACTGGACAAGGGGAGCATGGGACAAAGACTGTGGCTGCTGTGGCCGACATCAGCCAAGGCTAAATCAAAGGGTTTTTATGGACTTTTCAGAATTTTAGACAAGCCACACTGTATGCCGTCTATACCAACGACAGTTTGATCTCTCCTTTGGAATTAAAGCAAATGAACACCTTTACAAGACACTCTCTACTTTTTATAGCTCCTGCCGGTATTTAACCCGGGATTCAGAAATCAGAAATTATTTATCACAGCAAGAGAGAAAGAGAAATGTGTGATTAGGGTTGTTATTGCGCTCGCCAGGGGAACAATGGGGTCTCTGCCTGCTCCCCCCAGAAAGCTTACTCAGAGTTAGGGCTCCACGAATGCAGGCAAAACCCAAGCCTGCATTTTAGGGACCATCCCCTTTCTTTCATGATGTCTGAGAGCACTAATCTTATTTTGACAACTGCAGTTTGGATTTAAAGACTTTCAACAGTAAGTATGAGTCATCGGCCTAATGCTGCTACGCTGAAAAAAAGAAGAAGAAGAAGAAACAAAACAAGCCCAATGTCACAGGCAAGCTCCAGCTGTTCCCGATCTCCTCCTTACCCCCAGCAGCTGAATTCTTTTTCAATCAACTCTCCTATTCACTAGCAAGATTCTGGGTTTCTTTGGGGAAGGAAAAAGGAGGAAGGGGGACGTGCTCAAAACAAAGCTTTAAAATATAGGTAAATCTGACTGGATGAGGTTGATCAAAATAATAAACAAATGTGAACAATGCCCTACTCTTGCAGAGCGCTTTTCAATTTCCAAACAGTTGTCACATTGTTATGTTCTTAATACAAACCCCCACCTGATTGGACTCTCCCAGGGAGAGATCTGGTTTAAAATGTCTCAGTCAATGGTCCTCAAACTGGAGCGGACATCAGAACTCCCCGGAGGGCTTGGGAAAACCCACATTCCTGGGCCCCGCCCCCAGAGGTCCTGATTCCGTAGGTCTAGGGAAGGCCTGGGAACTTGCATTGCTAATAAATACGTTC